TCCTGAAGCGCTTGATCAGCGCCGCAGCTCCCCCGATTACAATGTCCAGCAAAACATCAGAATAATCGAAAACCGGTGAAATATCGGGTGGTGTGTACTTCCGAAACTGATTGCAGGGATATAACTAAAGACAGGACAAACTAACAAAAACATAAAAACAACTGCGGAGCACGCCACGGAGGCAGCCATCACCGTCTGCGCCATCTCACAACTCGCCCTCGTCCTATCAGACATTTCTCCTTACTCTGTGTATGTGGTAAGTGAACTTTCATGTACTGTAATGCAACAGGCTACCGCTAGTAAGCGGCTAACCTTTTAGTGGCTCCGTATAACGCGTTATTTGTTTCATGCTTCGTGCACCCCTAAAGCTAAAGCTTTCCTCTGCTCGCTTCTCCCAATCCGCTGTGCTCTCAGCCTGGCATTAACGTATGTCTCAGTCTAATGGGTTTCCACTCAGGTCACTGAAGCTCACTGGGGAACCACAGACTACCTGCAATGAGCTCCTGTACCAGCATCTGAATACAAAAGTATGTTGGTTTTAATAAAGACTCGGAGCAGTGATTTCCTTGATAAACGCACCGACCAAAAAAAGTGCGTCATACTTTAGTGCTTGTTCAACAAAAAACCAAATGAAACAACATGTACAAGTCTTCTTCAGTAAAAGAACCAGAATACAAAACATATGCTTAGGGCTCCACCTAGTGGTAGTCTTAAAGAACTTAAAGGAAGAATTCACATGAGACAGCTTCAACTAAATTTACACAATCTAAAAACAAATCATTCGCCATCGTCCTATCAGACATTTCTCCTTACTCTGTGTATGTGGTAAGTGAACTTTCATGTACTGTAATGCAACAGGCTACCGCTAGTAAGCGGCTAACCTTTTAGTGGCTCCGTATAACGCGTTATTTGTTTCATGCTTCGTGCACCCCTAAAGCTAAAGCTTTCCTCTGCTCGCTTCTCCCAATCCGCTGTGCTCTCAGCCTGGCATTAACGTATGTCTCAGTCTAATGGGTTTCCACTCAGGTCACTGAAGCTCACTGGGGAACCACAGACTACCTGCAATGAGCTCCTGTACCAGCATCTGAATACAAAAGTATGTTGGTTTTAATAAAGACTCGGAGCAGTGATTTCCTTGATAAACTCTCTGCAGTTACGCTTGATATGTCCATACCTTCTGCAGTAATGACATTTTGGGCCTTTTTCTCTCAAGAACTGTTTTCCAGTCAGAGATTTGACATCACTGCTGGTGTTTTCAACATCACGTTCTCTCAGTTTGCGTTCTTCATGCAGCAATCGTTCCGTGACGACCTCCATTTTAGGTACATCCACACTTGCTTCAAGTGCCGTGACTAACACGTTGAACGAGTCAGGCAAACTGGCTAGCAGGTGTACCACACAATCTTCCTCTTCGATGTGATCTCCCACAACTGGAAGTTCCATAATCCGTCTCTCATCAATGCCATTCGACATTGCACTTTCCACGTAGGATAGTTTGAGCCATTTAATGGAACAACCGTCACTGTCTTAGACTCCGAGCTCATTTTTTATTCACTGTCGCTCAATACCTTCAATAAGCCGTTCAGCAGCTTCACTGTAGCTTTTTGCTTCTGGGCCCATAACCTGTTGGTTTTAATAAAGACTCAGAGCAGTGATTTCCTTGATAAACGCACAGACCAAAAAAAGTGCATCATACTTTACTGCTTGTTCAACAAAAAACCAAATCAAACAACATGTACAAGTCTTCTTCAGTAAAAGAACCAGAATACAAAACATATGCTTAGGGCTCCACCTAGTGGTAGTCTTAAAGAACTTAAAGGAAGAATTCACATGAGACAGCTTCAACTAAATTTACACAATCTAAAAACATAATTATTCTGGTAAGAGTGTATTTTTTTATTTTCCCCAACAAAGTAGACACGAGAGCTGTGAAAAAAATGAAGTCACACTGACCCCTTGTGGTGGGAAGGGGAGGTGTCGTATCTGAAAAATGGATGAAGAGAAAGAGAGGGGGCAGTGGGAGAGCAAGAAAGAGGGGGGATTCATAATGAAACAGATGTTAGCGAACAGATTCACAAAAGAGGAATGCAACACATCAGTGGTGATAAGCATTTCATCAGCACATTGGAAGGATTTCATGGGTGGGTGGTAGGGCTGCACGATAAATCGCATGCGATATTTAATGCGCATCTTGTCAGAAAGCCGGTTTCAGTGAACAACGGCTCTGTGTAGTTAATGCTGCTCAATGTGAAAGCACGCAGGTGATGGAGATTTACCGCTGATTAAAGAACCGGCTTTACTGATAAGATGCGCGTTAAATATCGCATGCGATTAATCGTGCAGCCCTAGTGGGTGGTGACACCATCAGCATAAAGCAGTGATTTGGAAAAAGAGAGTGACTGGGTGAGTGGCTGAATGATTGAGTGAGTCAGTAAATGAAAGAGTGAAATTTTTAGTTGGTGAGTGAATGAATATGATCTGCGATACACATTAGGATGCGTCACCTTGACACAGGAGTTTTGGGAAGCAGTCTTTTTTCTGATTTGGGATTATGTGGGTGCGCACGCACGCACAGCAGGAAGGGCGCACAGCCCAATGCATTCTAAGGCTTTAAACGCTTGCACCCTTTTCTCAAGGACAAAGTAATGTGATCCACCACGGATTTAGACTTGTTGTTTGAGGTTTCAGCCTGCGTTTATAACTTCCTGATACAGTCCAAGAAATTTACTGAGGTTAACTCCTAAAGTCACCATGGTATCAAAATTCCTATTTTGTTATGGATTATTGCAGTGTTTATCATAAACAAAGTGTTTGTGCATATCATTAAATTATTGTGCCATCATAATTTTGAACCAAAATAAGTTCCCCTTCCCCTGAATGACATCTCTTTTCCGATAATGTTTTCACAAGTGCAAGGGTGAGATAATAACCTCTCACCTCAAGCAACACTCACATGGGATTGCAGCAATAGCAAATTAAATCCCCCATTAATTTTTTTCTTATTCGGGAAGCTGTTACACTCGGCTATACATCACAATAGGGAAGAAAAGACGATCATAACTTTTGTTTCATGCTAACTTTAAACTTCTGAAAAAAGGATATTTAAAATAATAGTCCACCCCAAAATTAAAATTTTGCATCATGTCAGTTTTGGTTCCCATTAACTTCCATTGTATTTTTTTCCATATAATAAAAATCAGTAAGAACTGAAACAGTTTAAACTCATACAGGTTTGGAAAGACATGAAGGTGAGTAAATGATGACAGAAGTTATGCTGTTAAAAATTTGGTATATAATTTCCTTTGAAACAAATTTCACAAATAATTCCAAAGAAATGGCAAGTAACACATTGAGTTAAACTTGAGATTTTGAAGTAGAAAGACAGACTTTAGTAACCTTTGTTTTATTTACAACTTTCAAAAAAATACAGTGTACTAGTATGAGGACAAGTTTTACCACAAACAATAACGTTATATTTTATATTACATTTTTGCATTTGGCAGATGCTTTTATTCAAAGCAACTTACATTGCATTCAACATTTATGTTTATTCAGTTGATGCATTTCCTGGGAATCGAACCCATGACCTTGGTGTTGCTAACGGCATAAGAATATGTTTCATATGAAACAGAGCATTTCTAGTTTATTTGTACAAATATTTGAAGGTAACTATCGCTATCGTTGAGTTAAAGTATGTACAATATGTATGTTCAGTGGGACCTTGAGCTTGCAGTGCATTGGTTAAGCATTCTCATAAGCGTTTGCATGTTTATATAGAGTAGGTTTCTGGGCAGTACACACATGCCAAGCATGTTCTGAATTCCGAAAATCAGTGTTGTAATATGCAGTGATATTCTTCCTCCATTCCCTGTGGTGCAGGTACCAGCCTGATGGTCCATGCACTGACCTGAGGAAGTTCATTGACGGCCCCAGTCATTACCTCGCCCTTCCTCCAGATCTCAAGTCAGCCGTAGAGGCCATCACTTACATCGCAGAGCAGCTGCAGGCGGAGAAAGATTACGAGGCTGTAAGTGATTTATGCTAACTATAGCCAATTGTGCCAGAATTATAGGTTACTTTTCCTGCTTCAGTTTGTGTGTCAGAGCTTTGTAAATCTTTGTTCTCTTTGTTCTCACTGCTTGCCATTACCAATCATCTTTTCGTTTTCCCTTTTTTTTTCTTTCTCTACTTTCTCTCTTCTTTTCCTCCCCCGTCTGCCTCTCAGTTAAAGGAGGACTGGCAGTATGTTGCCATGGTGGTTGATCGACTCTTCCTCTGGATCTTTGTGATTTTTACCTCCCTTGGGACACTGGGCATTTTTGCTAATGCCAGCTTCAATGCCACACCTACTGACCCCTTTCCCTAAATCTGATGGTTGTTCTCTCTAGCCTTGAACTTTTCACCTCTAAAACATTGGCACGAGATGTGTTAGACACTGCTGCGTGTTCAGTTCACATTAATGGCGTTGTAATGTAACACAAAGATCACAGCAATTCATTTACACAATGTTTCTGTAGTTAAAGCAGTGGATAGATGCATAAAAACAGCTATACTATTGCTAAAAAAGTGGGATTTGTTATAATTACGTAAAATAGTATAACTTATAGATAAATGTCAAATTTTGAATTTGCTGAAATTTGCTTTTGCCTTTTTGAAATTTATGCAGTTCCTCCTTTAAGGAAAGAAATTTCTCCATTAGCAGTCCACCAGTGGCTTTCTCATTAACTGTGTGTTTTGCTCATAATTGATTGAGTTTTTAGTGAGATCTGTTTGCCATACAAGGAATGGAAATGGACTTGGGTTGGTTTTTGGCTACGGGATTGTCATGTGTATGGACACATCACTTAACATCACTATAATATATGATATACTGTCTTTAATGTGCCAATTAAATGAGTTTTTGCACAAACACATTATTATTTTATAAATTAACTCAGTTTGGCTCACCTGCAGTGCTCAGGCAGGCTGTGTCACTGTATTGTACTCTCCGCCCATCTGAGGAACCTTTTTTTGCTCCGATTTACACCACTGTTCAAAAGTTTGGGGTCAGTAAGATTTTTTTTTCTTTGAAAGAAACTAATCAAAGAAACCAAAGAAATGATTCTTGAACACCAGATCATATACCAGCATATTAAAATAATTATGGCATTGAAGACTGGAGTAATGGCTTTGTCATCACAGAAACAAATTACATTTTAAAATAACTTGAAAATGAAAACCCTTATTTTAATTGTAATGATATTTCTCAATATTACTGTTTGTGCTGTATTTTTTTATCAAATAAATGCAGCCTTGGTGAGTATAAGTGACTTCTTTCAAAAACTTTACCGACCCCAAACTTTTGAATGGTAGTGTATTTATGCATAATGTGTAAGAAATTGTTTAGATACCCAGTGTGATGTGTGCTCTTAAATGTGTGAATGCTGTTCTAGTCATTATCTAGTCAATATATTTTAAGAAACTTCTATGTGATAAGAGCAAAGAAGGTGTAGTGATAGGATGATTGGTTGTACATGGTGCGCATGCGCGGGGGAGAGTTGAGTCAGTAAAGTTGCTTGCTATGGCACACATTGCTCTCCTGTCAGTTCCCTGGCGAGATTAATATAATATCATAACATGGTGTCAGAAGTAGACCTACCTCGCTTTCCGAGAGATGCCTGTCACCCACACCATATCGGTCTTTAGAGACTTTTCGAGCGAAGTATCGGAGTTATAATCCAGTTTATCAGACGGCAACGACGAGCTGAGAGAGAGACGGGAGCTCGGGGAAAACATAAACAAAACAGCGGGGGGAAAAAAAGTCCCGACGCTGAATAACAGCAAGGTAAACACTTAAGATGGATACATTGTTCTCCATAAGCCCGCCTGAAAACTTTGACTTCAGTGATTTTGGCAGTTGGCCAAATTGAATTCGCAGATTCGAGCGATTCCGCATAGCTGCGGGTATCAGTGAGAGAAGTCAGGAGTATCAAGTTAACTCGCTTATTTACACAATGGGCGATAAAGCCGATGATATAATGAGTACGCTGCCTCTGACAGACAAAGAAAGAAACAACTACAGTAAAGTCAAGGATGCGTTTGAGAAACATTTTGTATGCAAGTACAACATGATTTATGAGAGGGCTAAATTCAACAAACGGTGCCAAGAGCCCGGTGAAACTGCCGAAGCATTCATTACTGCAGTTTACAAACTAGCAGAGAATTGTCAGTACGGAGTTCTCCAGGAGGAAATTATAAGAGACAGATTAGTCGTAGGAATACGTGATCATGGACTGTCAGAGAGATTACAGTTAGACCCAGAGCTCACACTCAGTAAAGCTGTAACAAAAATAAGACAGAGTGAAGAAATAAAAAAGCAGCAGACAATATTAAGACAAGCCAGTGGGGACACAAAAGAGGTAAACATTGACATGTTGAAATACAAAACCAAACCAAAACATGTACAAAAAGGAGCCCAAAGAAAAACTGACAGTATGAGACACAGTGAGGGAAACAAAGGATGAACGGGATGCTGAGTGCAGAAAGTGTAAGAAAAAAGGGTACTTTGCTGCATTTTGCAAAACAAAAAAGAGACTGGATGAAATATATCAGGACGAGGGGGCAGAGAGCATTGAAACTGTGTTTTTGGGAGTTCTAAAGTCTGTGAATTCAAATGATGTGTGGCAAAAGACTGTTGCTGTGAATGGGGAACAGATCTGGGGAAGTCGTGGCCTAATGGTTAGAGAGTCGGACTCGTAAGTTGTGTGTTCACGGTGTGTGTGTGCACTTTAGATGGGTTAAATGCAGAGCACTAATTCCAAGTATGGGTCACCATACTTGGCCACATGTCACGTCAGATCCTTTTCAAATTAGACACAGGAGCGGCAGTGACAGCCATTCCAGAAAGCATGTACTCAGTTTGAGGGTTCATTACAGTACTTGGATAAAACAATAAAACACATGGTGTTTGTGATACCAAGACTGGTTTCTCCACTACTGGGTTTACCAGCCATCAGAGAGCAGGGTTTACTCCACACAGTCGACACAATTAACACATCAGAGCCAAATTACAGAGAACTATACCCAAAAGTTTTTACAGGATTAGGGAAACTGGAGGGAGATTATAAGATCAAACTCAAAGAATCAGCCACTCCCTTTGCTCTGTCGGTGCCCCGTCGGGTGCCCTTGCCCATGATGAAAAAGGTGAAAGAGACTTGGGAGTAATCGCACCAATTGAAGAAGCAACTGAATGGTGCTCCGGTATGGTCATTGTACCTCAACCAAATGACAAAGTCCATATCTGTGTAGATCTTACACGGTTGAATGAAAATGTTTGCAGAGAGAGACTCATGCTCCCTGCCGTGGATGAAACACTGGCTAAACTGGCAGTTGCAACAGTATTCTCCAAACTGGATGCTACTGCTGGATTTTGGCAGATCCCATTACACAGAGATTCAACTCCACTCACTACCTTTATTACACCTTTTGGTAGATATTGTTTTCATCGCCTTCCATTTGGTATTTCATCAGCACCAGAGCACTTCCAGAAGTGCTTAACACAGATGCTGGAGGGCACGTTGTGTCATGCTGATGACATCCTAGTGTTCGGGGGTACACGCAAGGAACATGATGCCAGACTTCTCAAAGTTTTGAACCGGCTGGAACAGAAAGGCTTGACACTGAATGAAAAATGTCAGTTTGCAGTGACTCAGGTTAAGTTCTTTGGCCACATAATCAGTGCTAAAGGCATTCAAGCTTATCCAGACAAAATAAAAGCCATCACAAAGATGCCAGAGCCTAAAAATACTGCAGACGTCAAGCGATTCCTTGGCATGGTGAATTATGTCAGAAAATTTTCCCCTAACATTGCAGAGCTGACGGGACCTATCAGAGACCTGCTCAAAGCAGAAAATGACTGGGTATGGGGTGGCCCACAACAACAAGCCTTTGAGAAGGTAAAAAAGGAACTCAGCTCTTCAGCAGTTTTAGCACAGTACTGCCCAGATCGACAGACAAGAGTTTCAGCGGATGCTTCTTTTTTTGGATAAGGGGGAGTACTATCTCAGCTGCAGCCTACAGGCGAGTGGAGGCCCTTAGCCTTTATATCACGGAGCATGACACCAGCAGAGAGGGTATGCCCAAATCGAGGAGGCTCTTGCAATCACTTGGGCCTGTGAAAGGTTTCAGACCTACCTCCTTGGTCTAGATTTTGTGATCAGAACCGATCATAAGCCGTTGGTCAGTTTGTTAGGCTCAAGACCACTTGATGACCTGCCCCCACGCATACTAAGATTTCGCTTGCGACTTCTGCGTTTCTCTTACCAAATTGTGCATGTTGCTGGAAAAAATCTAATTACAGCTGACACGCTGTCCAGAGCTCCACTCCAAGACAGCCTGGTAGCGGAAGACCTCAACATGGAGGAAGATGTACAAGTTTACGTCAGCTACGTCATTCAGCAGCTCCCTGCATCAGCCTCTAAGTTAGCTCCGATAAGGAGGGCTCAGGAAGAGGACGAAGTGTGCAGACAGCTCAGCTCTCAAATTCGCACAGGATGGAAAGGAAAAAAGAGCATTCCACCACACCTGACCCTGTTTTGGCCACACAGACATGACCTGCACATGGAGGAAGGTTTGTTAATGAAAGGCAAGAGAATACTGATACCTGACAGCATGCACAAAGAAATCCTGGAGAAGTTACATCAGGGCATCACTAAGTGCTTGGCAAGGGCACAACAGGCTGTGTGGTGGCCAGACATAACAAAATAAGTCAAAGACTACAGTGAGTAGTTGCGAAATATGTGTCCACTCCTTTACCTTCACGACCATGGCAGAGGGTGGTGGCAGATCTCTTCCAGTGGAACAAGGGTAATTATGTGCTTGTGATAGACTACTATTCACGCTACATAGAGGTTGCCTCGCTCACTTCTACAACTACAACAGCTGTCATGGAGAGACTTAAAGCAATTTTCGCACGCCATGGAGTCCCAGAGGTACTGGTCACAGACAATGGACCACAGTTCGTGGCATCAGACTTTGCAGACTTTGCTAAAGACATCATGTGACCAGTAGCCCCCGCTACCCTCAAAGTAATGGGGAAGCGGAACGTGCAGTACGAACCGTTAAAACATTACTGATGAAAGGAGAGGATCCTCACAAAGCACTCATGGCTTACAGAGCCACTCCTTTGGCCTCTGGAGCTTCACCAGCACAACTATTGATGGGACGAAACATCAGAACCACCCTTCCACTAAGTCCATCCACACTCAAACCAGCCTGGCCAGACCTTAACACCTTCAAGAGAAAAGACACAGAGTTGAAGGACAAACAGGCAAAGTGGTACAACAAACGCTACAGAGCACAGACAAAGCCACCTCTTCAAAGAGGACAAACAGTCTGGATAAAGAACACTTCTCACTCTGGAAGAGTCACTGGCCCTGCTGACACACTACGGTCTTACATTGTGGACGGGCCAACCGGCAGCCTTAGAAGACATCGCTCTCATCTAAGAGTAATCCCTTTACAGTCAAGGAACACACAAGTCTGTGCAAGAAGCAGAGTGGGTCGTGTAATTAGACCACCTTTAAGACTGAATCTGTAGAGAGTTGGCAGGACTTTTAGCCCATTCAGTGTTTATCTCCCTTTCTTGTAATAATAATGAGAAAGTACTTGAGATGTGTTTTTTTATCCCCTCAACAGAGAGACTGGGGGGTTTTTTTGTTCTTTGCTAGATTCTGGACTAACAGAGGGAGGTGAAATGAAATGTAATATTGTAATGTTATGTTGAGTTCACATGGGGAAAAAAAAGAAGGAAATATTTGTTATTGGTTATGCTATTTTATGTCTTTGGGAAGTTCTTTAGCTAAAAGGGGGAGATGTAGTGATAGGATGATTGGTTGTACATGGTGCGCATGCGCAGGGGGAGAGTTGAGT